ACGCACATAAGAAAGTTTCCCTGGGGCGCGCATGCACTTGTAAGTTCATCGAATAATTATAGACTAAATTAAAGTAGTGACGTGTTCCTAAGACGCGCGCTTCATATATATATAAAACTCCTAAAGCCTCCTGAAACTAAAGACCATACACAATTTTTATCAACCTACCCTAATTCAACGTTTTATACACTTATCGACATTACTTTAATCAGAACGCTCATCCCTTTATTATTTATTAAATACTAATTTATACCTTCTCGACGTTATATTTATAATGACAAAGTGCGTTTAAAGAACATATTTTATCGCCTATCAAGCTCCTTAAGTTCATATATAATATAATTTCTTAACAACTTTTATTATTTCTTCAAAACTTTTTCCATTTGCGATCGAAATTGGGTTCCCTCCTTTTTTTTTCTATAATAATGTATTTAAAACTTCCATCGCAGTTTTTATCGATGATAATTGTCTCAATAATTAATTTCATACATCCAAAGAAAATAATTGTCTCAGATCCAAATAAATTTTATTTAATTTTATTTAAAACAAATAAAAAGTTATATTTTTTTATTTGCTTCGAATAAATAACAATAAAATATTTCTCTGGGTGTAATTCGTAATAACTAAGAAAATTATTTAAAACCATGTGAAAGGACGTGAATTTCAAATTCAATAAATTTTATTTATTTATCTATATAAATAAATTTAGTTCATTTGAAAACATTTTTTTCTAAATTTCCTATTACATTTTCCAAAAGTTATAATACCTACGAATTCAAAATTTTCTCGTCATTCAAAAAAAAATTCGATTCCATATACTTTTTGGATTTTTATACTTGCGTGAATAAAATACACCACATTTCCTGCATCGTGGAAATATGAGTGAGATTCTTTAACCACACTGCAAATCCTTGAAATTCGATCTCGAAGAAAAATGGAGGAAACTTAAAAATTCCAACCATTCTTCAAACGACAATGGATCGTACGAGATATATATTTCGAAAAATCCCAATGGATGCGATATATAGAGAGGAGTTTAAGGGGACCATTTCTATTATGGGCGATGCTTTTTTTTTCTTTTTTCTTTTTTTTTTTTTTTTTTTTTTTAATACATATAAGTATATAAGGGTGCCTCTTTCTATACACAGGGTCGGGCTTGTTTTGTAAGCGACTATTCTACTCTTCGAACTAGTTCGAATAAAAACCACCCCTATGATGAGCTCCAATAAGAATGCTCTACATTCCCCCCACTATTAGCTCCTAAAACATCCCACTTGCTTGCTAAAAAAAAAAAAAAGGGAAAAAAATCCTCATACGCAAAGAAAATATAAATACGATTCTTCTTCACTTATAAATACCAGAGAGAGAAAATTTTTTTAAGCTCTTTAACGTAAGTAGTTTAATACAAGAGTGCCTTCAGTGATGTTTATACGATTCCCAAAAAATTAGTGTTTTATAATCAAAAATTGAAAAATTCCAGTGTTAAAAAAAATTGCGCCGATTTAATTTAAATTTTAACTAAATAAATATTTGCCTTTTATATATAAAAATGTGTCAAAAAAAGTGTGTGAAAATTATCTAAAACTAAATTTAATTTAACATGACTTATGAAAATAATTAAAACAGATTAAAAAGCATCATCAAAGAAACATGAAATATATATACATGCGCTTTCTCTCTCTTTAATTTGCATTTCAAATGTTTCTGCCGCTCGATTAATTACAAACCAATAATTAAAACTTTATGTAATACGAGCGCGAGTATAAAAAAAAAATTTTCACTTCATTAAATGTCATTGAATTGTCAGAATGTAGACGTCTTTATTTTTCATATAAGCAGGTGTGTGTGTATATATATTTATATACAAGCCAAATGAGTAGGTAAAAAAAAAATTTTTTTTCTTTTTTTTTTTTTTTAAACAAAACTTCAATTGAAAGAGTAATAAAAATTTTGAACAGACACTAATTGACTGTTAATAGAAAAAGCCTGATCCATCGAACCTGAGGCAAAACGAGAATTGCAAATACACAACGTGACTAAAAATGGAGCAGCTGCCGAAAAAGTTTCGCGGAAATCATTATACAATATCATTAATAAATCTTCTACCACTCCCTATATATAAATATCGATCAAAAGTTCTTCGCATATAACCTAAATACTACATTTAATTAATTAAACTCGAAATCTACTTTTTTTATATATAATACGATGAGTTGAGGAAATTATTTATTCCCGGAATTTATTGTTTTTTTTACGTTTTTTATATAACTTTTTTTTGAAAAGGAAATTTTTCTTCATTTTTAATTAATAAATATTTTTTTTAAACAAAAGAATTGAAATTTATTTATTAACCCCTTAACTGCTGATGACAATTTTGTGCGTCAAATCTTCGTCATAGCAGTTAAGGGGTTAAAAAAAATAATTTCTTCTGATATAATTTACGAATCTGCATTTTTTGGTTTGATAAATTCAATTATACAATTTTGAGTCTCGCAATTTACGCGTTTTTTAAAAAGAAATTTTAAAAAATAATTGGAAAAATATTTCCTTTTGTCATATATATTAATCGTCTTTTCACATGGTCTTAAAATAATCATTTTTTTCAAATAATACTAAAAAAAATAGCGTGATAAAATTTTTTCTCCTATTGAAATTTCATGAAAAAAAATCCACTTTTTCTGTTTAAATTACATTATTATAGATTCGCGACAAACTCATAAGCGTGCATCCTCGGATATAATAATAAATTATAACGACGTGTCATTGATACATTATTATGTAAGTTGAATAGAATGCTCGCGATTACGTATTATTCATGTGGACAGAAAATTTTGCAATCACGCACATTAGGTGGGCAACATGTGTCAATGTGGCACCATCAGTCAGTCAGTCAGTAAATCAGTGAGTCAGTTTATATTCACGTGTGTGTGGTCAGTGAAATCACCCCCTTATTATATATATATATATATATATATATATATATATATTGTACTCCCACCTTCATCAGTAGCTCAATATAACTAGTACAACTATTATTATAATTCTCCTCGCTTTGGCAGTTAGCCACTTATTTGCCTTCACATTGTGAAACCTTCACTAGCGCGCATTTCATCGACCTTTTCGCGACGCGCGTGTCATTAATTTACGTGTTTCATCGTTATACAGCGCGGCCATATAAAGTATATATAAATTTATATATATGTACATACGGATGGACGAAACCGTCTTTAAACGCAGGAAAAGAGGAGAATCATGCAAATTCATCATTAGCAATTTTTATTCTAATTTGACGTTCTTTCCTTCATTGTTTTCCAGTAAAATATATGTGATGGAAGGGGAAAAAATCACCTCGCGCGTAATACGACATTAATTTCCGAGATTGGAACGTGAGAACGTTTTCCTATATTTTAGAAAACAATTGAAATATTTTCAAATTTGCAAATACTTTTGTAAAAATCATATATTAAAATTTATCACATGGTAAAATATTGAGACAAATATATGATGTGAATTTATCAATCTTCCAAGTCAAAGTGTTAAAAATAAAAAAATAAAAAACACTGCATTTTTGACGTTTCGACGGTACGACCGTCCTCATCAGAAACTATAAAAAATTATTTATTAATTAATAGAATTACAAAAAAATTACAAAAAAATTATCTTTACCGTAAAATTTTAAAACAGACAATTTTTCTTTTAAAATTTTACGGTAAAGAAAATTTTTAATTAGTTTCTTTTCATTATACAATTTTTTGTAATTTTTTGTAATTTTTTTGTAATTCTATTAATTAATAAATAATTTTTTATAGTTTCTGATGAGGACGGTCGTACCGTCGAAACGTCAAAAATGCAGTGTTTTTTATTTTTTTATTTTAAACACTTTGACTTGGAAGATTAATAAATTCACACCATATATTTTTGTAAAAATGTTTTTGAAAAACAGAATGTAAATTCGAAATTTTATAAAAAAAGAAATAAATGGGAGTTTTTGAAAATTTCATTCATGAAAAATTCCCTATTTTTGAATTTTCATCAAAATATATAAAATTAAATAATTAGTGGTTGTGTTTTCTATCATTACACTTTGTTGTTAATAATAAACATAATGCTAAAGGATTTTCACTCATTATTATCAATCAACCTTTTCATTACTATAAACGTCAAATCTAGTTGGTAATACAGCAATCTTACGTGAAGGAATATTAGCTCAGACATATTCTACACTAATGTATACAGATATACGCGCATATCTATTATATATACGTGTATATAATATGTAATATAATTCTATGGTTGCGTGTAGCCTGAGGGGTTAATGCTGGATAAACTAAAGGCGATTAAACACTAGATCCAATTACTGACACAATCTTTTTTTTCCGTTTTTTTTTCATCCATTACACATAAGATACAAGTGAAACCTATTATTCGTCCATATATATAATTTAGCTGCGCGGATATATATAGTGAAGAAATGAAATTCCAAACAGGAGTATATTTTTTTGTACATTGAAGAAAATGAAACTAATCCTTTTTCTATAACGATTTAACACGACAATAATATTCAAACACAAGAGAGAAATTTTAGATAAAAAGAAGAAAAATGGTCATTCTATATTGAATCGAAATTAGAACGAATATAATTGTAATATTGAAGAACAAAAAATGAAACCTACAACCAAGATTTAAACGGAAGCTTCTGGTGGACAATCCAGAAAATTAGTCACATCCGCAATTGTTACCTTATATATTTCTCTTTTGTACCCGTTCCCTCGACTGTGAAACTTTTGTTAAGGATTCACCCAAGGATTTTCCAAAGAAATGCGCCTATAACCCGAGCGTGACAGATAAATTTCTGACATACAAGAACGATCATTTTTTTTTTTGTTGAAAAAATAGGTCGACTTTATACACGCGCGCCTTTAGTATAATTTCGAAATTTAATTTTCATTTCTTTTTCACGATGATTAAATTGTAAATTAAATTAGAAAACAATTTCATACCCGATTTTTCACGAAAAAAAAACTCCAAGGCTTCTTTATATTATTGTCCCAGTCGAGACGAAGATTCTTAAAGATCCTTTTTTCCATTTCTCTTGTTTTGCTGATGATGATGATGATTTCCAAAAATCCGCATTTGTAAATATACCTGAAACGAACGAAAAATATTAATATTTAAACCAACCAGAAAAATAAATATTTAAAATAATTGTTTTCAAAAATATAAACTTTTTTTGATTTTGTATTTTCGTAAATATGAAACGAATATTAATATTTAAATCAACCAGAAAATTAAATATTTAAAATAATTTTTTTTCAAAAATACAAATTCTAATTATTTTTTCGATTTTTCTGATGGATTTTCTTTTTTCTAGCATATCGAGGCAGGTTGGAATTTATAAACCGTATACGGAAAAGTATATATAGAAAATGTTGAGAGTGAAACAGAAGAGAACCAGGAGAAGGAAACAGAGAAGTCAGGACTGATCGTAGGGGTGGCATTTACGCACGAAAACACTCTGATACGGGGACCTCATGGATCGATCTCTCTCTCTCTTTTTCTCTCTTGGTCGTATATGTACATATATACATATACCGACTCACATTTAGGGAGAAAAACTCTCCACTTTTATATGGGGTTGCGCGTCTTTATGTGAAAGCATTCCGTGGGTTGTGAGCTCTCAAAAATTCCTACTACACTTCTCTTTCCATTTCAAACTCTAGATTTTCCTTTACCTTATATATTCCTCGCTTTGTTTCCTTTCCGGCTTTTGGGAGAAAATACTCAACCCATTCCTTTTTTTTCTCTCTCTTTCTCTCTTTACACAATAATGTACCGGAATTATAAACGATGCTCGAATGCAACGACCTTCGCGAGTTTTTCCGCTTCATCTTTAAAAAGTTTAAAAGTTCCAGAAGTAGAACAACAACTAGAGTACTCGATTAATTTCTCCCTTCAAAAATTTCGAATTTGAAATTTAGAATTTTTTTTGAACAAAAAAATTAAGTAATTAGAATCCTCGAGTGTATAAATGACTCAATCAAGTTTGTCGATTTTGTGAAGGAAGTACAAAAACCGCATAGAGATTATTAATTTTCATAACGGTGATTAGAGATCCGGGACACGAATATCATGGCTTGGCTCGACTTTGGAAGGCTCTTGAAACACACATGCATCTCTTTTTATCCCTTCTTTTACCAACGCGACTGTCAGCGCTCTCAGCCATGGCGCCAGGCACACATATAACCCGAGCACTGGTGGCCGAACTTCACCAAGAAAATATTACCTATGGGAAGGACTTGACTTTTTTTTCTTCTTCTTCTTTATCATCGTTTACTTTCACTCATTCGATTATAATACAAGAAACAATTTTCAATTTTGCATTCGCAATTCGAAAAATTTTAATTCCACATGAAATTGATAGTCGGGAAAGACGACAGTGCCCTCTGTAGACGGCGTCACTGAACTAAAAAACAATTTTTTATTAACAAAAAGGTTTTGTATTTTTCAACTTTGTATCCAAATTGTTTCTTATACAATTGTTATAAAAAAATTATAAACTACAAATACAAATTCGAATCAAATAAGAATTAGTAAAAAAAATATATAAAATTGGAAAAAAAACTCGATAAGAAATGAAAACGAGTATCGAATCGACCTCGATTTTAGCTCTCTCACATCAATAAAAATAGCAAAACGGTTTCTAAACTCCAACGATATGAGAGTTCCTGCTGACTTTATTCCTCATATGCGCGGTTTGTCAGACTCAAAAGCCGTTGGCCATGGCGCCACTATACGCACCAAGCATCTTCGTGGAGCCGACGAACTGCCCGATGTTCCTGAAGTGGAACTTTACGAACAGACGAAAGTGCAGCACGTGGTGGTTGTTTTTTAAAAATAAAATGGCGGCCGCCGGGCGGCGTCGAAAGGGAAAGAGACGAAAGAAGGAGGGGGGGGGGGTGAAGGAAGGAGAGGCGACCCACCGGAGAGCCGTTCTGCGATTAGACTTACAAAACAAACGGCCCCGCGGTCCAGTCCGCAGACCAATGGCGTAGCACGCTGATCCCGACAGAGGGACACGAGATAATTGGATCAAGACTGTTTCCAAAGGAAGCGAGAGAGAGAGAGAAAAGTAGCTCCTCCGATTTCGAAGCCAAAGGGTCGACGACCTTGACTCTCGAAAAGCTCATGGAAAAAGCAATCGCTCTCTTGACTCTCGAATCGAGCGTAGAGAGAGAGAAAGAGAGAAACGCAAAAAAAATTTTCAAAGAACCGCCTCTCCTAACGTCGATCTCCAGATACCAAGGAGACAAATTTGGCTACTACTCTCCAAATATTTTCTTTGAATTTCTATTCTTTTCTCCTTTTTTGCATTTTTATTTATACCTGAATTCTAGAATAAATTTAAAATTCTTTGAATTTTTTACACTAAGATCTATATTTCTATTTGTACATAAGAAAAAAGTACTTGCATTTTCAATTCACCAGTAATTGCAATTGGAAGTACAAGATAGTAGAATAAGGCTCATGTGCTATAAATTTCTAGTCAGTTCCATATTCGAGTATATTGCTTTTTTGTATCGCTTTGCAGACACTTTAATTTATAGTTATAAAAAAAAATTGAAAAGTGGAGTATGAACTTACTTACTTCCACAATGTTTCAAATAAAAAGATGATGATGAATCAGACGTAATATGTGACACTAAACATAACCAAAAATTTTTTTAAGGTCCCTTTCCTCGTGGAGCGAAAAAATTTCAAAACAATTCAAGAAATAGAAAATGCACGGAACGAAAAAAATGGAATCATATAAATCAAATAAAAGAGGGAAAAAGCGAAGCTAATTTTTCCTAATTCCAATCAATGTTTGAACCCTTTTTTGAGATTCGATCCCCCTATTGTTTACGAAGATGAATTCGCTTTGGATTTGTACGTGGCATTGTGATAAGAGTCACACAGCCTAAGAATTGATCTAGAGGGAGTTTCAGGGGAACTATCTTTGCTCCCGACACACGAAGGTTGGTGTGTGCTATCGGCGTTGGAAGCATACCCTCTATTGATCGAACGGACTGCCCTGGGCTCCAGTCGAGTGGACTGGACACACCACCAACCCTTGGCCATTTACTCAGTCTGTATAGTGTATATATATATATATATATAGTCCTCATACACATGTTCCAAACACACATTTAAACACGCCAGGCGAGCGCGAAGACGACAGCTAAAAGACGCCCAAAACGATTTGCTCGTGGATGACTGGCTTCTGCGCCTTCTTGAATATAATACAATCTCCCTACATATTCAATACACGAAATTTTCTTATTTTCTGAAACAATAATAAAAATTATTTTTAGAATTAAGGCTCGATTTTTCAGAAAAATTTTTGGAATCTAGAGACAGAGGAACCTAAGATCTAAGGGGATTATCCAAAAATTATTATTATTAATAATTATTTACAAAATTCTGTAAGTTTTCCATGATATACCTATAAGTATATCAAAAACCGAAAAAAAGAAAACAATTCGGTTTAATAAAAATCAAATATTAATTAAAATTTGGTGAAAATGTTAATTTGTTCAAAAGAAAATTTCATCAAATTACAATTTGGTTAAATAAAAATTATGGATCAAAAGTAAATTCAATTAAAGGAAAATTCAGCGAAATGCAAAATTTTGATAAATGATTTAATTAATTTATAAAAAATGAATTTTCATGAAAATTTCAGATATTTTGTATATATAGAAATCGCTATTTAAAATATTTTTCAACAAAATTAAAAAGAAAATAAATATATACATTGCCCGAGAATGTCGCGCGGAAACTTTTAAGATTAAACAAGTTTGGAAATTTTTCTATATACTTTCTGAAGAAATTTAATTGGGAACATGTAAGAGACTCTCTTACAAGATACCACAACTTTAGATATAGTTTATTTCAAAAAATGTTTTATAATTTTTATTTCTTTTTTTTGAAATATTTTTTAAAAAAGGCATTTTTATTAACAAAAAATATATTTCCAAACAGTTTTATCTCAAAATATAATGATTAAAATTTACAGAAAAATTTTTCTTCTAGCTTTTTCTTTTGAAAAATTATATTTAAAAAAATTTTCAAATGTAAAATTATAAATAATGTGCAATTGATTTGAATAATCGAGAAAGAGAGAGAGGAGTAGAAAAAGAAGAATAAATAAGCAAAACCATTACAAGATGGAGATTGTATATATATAGATGAATCTGTAGCCACCTATCACGCGACGATTCGGGATTCGATATATCCACCATTTTATATATACATATATGAGCATTGTTTAGTTGCTTCATCGATTTCAACTAGAGTTCGTTACTGACTACCAACGTTTTATATTTAATTATTTATCGAAAGTAAAGTCCACGAGAGACCATTCTTTTAGTGGACTAATTTTTAAAAGAATTTTTAATTTTCTATAAATACACTTATGAAATAATTTCGAATATAATTCAAATACGAAAAGGAAATAAAAAAGAATCAAAACTATACACGAAAAAGAATATAAATTAGCCACAAAATAAATAAATTTGCTACGCCAATTAAAATATTTGCTAGAGCTGCTAAATAGTTATGACTAAAAAAAAATAAGAGAATTTAAACCTCATTCTGATCCAGTTTTCAAATAATTCTCTACAGCAAACTTCTACAGAAATTTTTAGCAATTCAGAATTCTGCAAAATAAAAGAAAACAATTTTTGGTTAGTTATTAAATAAATGTCCTTTGAAAGGTCCTATAATGTGCGTATAAATCTGTATATATATATATAGTTAAAGTGTGTAGAAAGACAAGTTTTAGCGGCAACACTATGTATTTTATATACATGTTGGTAGCCATGCGCGCGCGTTTGTCGGTATATATATATAGTATTCTGCTGTCCATGCAATTTCACATAACTCTCGCAATTCAATAACGTCAGTGTCGCCAGCAGGACAATGCCGTGTCGAGTTAGCCATAACTATAGGGTTATGTACATAACTGCGAACACCGCGAATATATACTGTATATATATACACTCACGACATCCACTTTGATTGCCAACGTATTGGCGCACAACCACTATACCTATACTTAGGTTATACTTTATTGCATACATATATCCCATATCCTCTTTTGATGATTTCAAAAATATAATTTCAAAAATATTTATAATTTAATACAACTTTAATAAATTTCTATTAAATAAATTTATAAACTATATCGCAAATATAGAAATTCGAATAAAAGAATTCGAAAATTTTCAAGAATATTTAGAGACAAGGATTTAAAATGAGACTCAAAAGAAAACGAACAAAAAAGAAAGAAGAGGAAAAAGAAAAGAATGAAAACAAAATAGAGAAAGTTAAGTTGTAAATGCTCTCTCTCTGTAAGCACTGACCAAAAAGACGAATTCACGCGTGAGTTCCTGACAGAATATAGCAGCTTCTTTTTTCTTTTTCTTTTTTTGAGGAGGGTGGCTGAACTTATCCAAGCCCTCAATCGTTTCTAAAAGGGATGGAAGATGCTAGGCGTCCCTCCAAGGCGCCTTTCGCCTCATCTATCACCCCTTTTCCACCCCCGTTACGTCGCGAAGCTTGCTGTTACGCGTGGAAAAGACCCGGATGTCGAGAGGCAAGGGCATAAGTCAAGAGAGAGAGAGAGAGAAATTTTATGTCGCTAATTCATTTGGTTGGACACGATCACTATATATATGTTGGAAGAGGACCTTCTAAATATCACTCTAGCGAGAAAACTTTATCTTTTTTTTCCCAATCAGCAAGGAAAATTTTTTGTTACTTTTTTTCCAGTTTCTGCAATACTCCACACATTCCATAAAAAAAAAAAAAAAAATTAGTTGACACTTTTTTTTTTGCAACTACGAAAATTACCAAAAAAATTTTTTGAATTAAATTGAAAATAATAGAAAAGACAAGCATAAAACTAGAAGAGAAAACAAAAAATTAAAGAAAAACTGAAAGAAAAAAAATTTGTTAAATTGATAAATTACAAAAACTAAAGGAGGAAAAAAATTAAAGAAAATTTGCAAAAACTAAAAGAGAAATTTCTGGCGTGTTTCTTTTAGTGTCTTTTTGCCCTCTAATATATACAAATGCTTTACTATTACATTTTGCGAAGGGAGAGAAACGAAATATATACCTATATATATATATTACAAGAGGGTGAACATTGTCGTTGGACCTATATATATATATAACAATCCTATGCGTTATATGTGCCTACCGACGTCGTCTGCAAAACCATCAGGACTCATCCAACTGATGTAATATTCTGACGAAGGAAAGCCACCTCGTAAACATTCTGTCACACACAAACGACCAAGTAATACAAAACAAGAGTCGTCATAGCCATACTTCAACGCGAGGGTGTCTCAAAGGACTTTTGCGATTTAACTAATAAGCTTGTCACTTTCAAGTTCGCATTATTCTAATTACAGTAACATCTTTATTTTACTTCCTTCCCTCTTTTATTGTTATTTTTTTTAATTATTAATTTTATTACAATTATTCCTTTTTTCTTAGAATTATATATATATATATATATATAAATTCAATTTGTATTAGCGATGTGATAAGAAAATTTATATAAATAAGAATTTTTATTCATTAAATATATTTGAAAATATTTTGCTTCATTAGATTTGAATGGTTCTTGAAATTATTATTATATATATATATATAAATAGAAAAGCCAGAAATACATGCCTGAATAATTTCAATAAATTAAATTATCGTTAACGTTCAATGCTTATCAAATGCAATGTATAATATAATCGTTTTGCTTTGTCGTCAAGAACTGATGTCTTAAAAACGTATATAAATTTTAAGTGTAATCTGAATTTTCAGAAAAGCAATAAACGAAAATTTTCCTTTAATATAAATCCACGTAACCTGATTATGATATTTCAAAATAAAATTTTCTGACGTCAAACAAAATTTGTATTATCAAGAATTCATTAATAAGTAATTTTTTTTTATTACATTGGAAAAAAAATTTATTTGATTCAAATACTTGAATATTATCAAATAAATATTTATTTGTATAAAATAATTATTATTTAAAATTATGGTATTTGTTTCAAATACAGAAATTATTGATTCAAATTCAAATAAAAATTATTTAGTTCAAGTAAATATTTATTTGATAATAGTCAAGTAATCGTTTGAATTAAATAATTTTTTTTCAGTGAAAGTTTTCAAAAGAGATTATAATTAATAATTCTACCCTATTTCAAATTTAAAAAAAAAATTCTATATGCGACATATAAAAAAGAGGCTCAAAGAAATAAAAGAGAAAAAAAATTCAAGGGGTGAAAACCGCGGAATAAAAAAGAGGAAGAGAGAGGGATAAGACAGAAGTTCTGAATCGTCTGAGAGATGATGAAGGAAATATAAGAGAGAAAGAGAATATAAATAGTGAACATCGCGAAAAGGAAGCAAAAAGCTATATAGTCGCGTCGTTCTCGGGCGGTCGGTCAAATGTTTAAACAAACGAGCAATTATCTTAACTTGATCTTGGATCAGTTGCTCTCCTTATTTCACGTGGTCCCTTCTTCATCGTTCTTTCTCTCTCCTCCGTCTATCTTCTCCCCACTTTATTCACGTCTCGCATTTCTTTCTTTTTCTTTCTTTTTTTTTATCTCCCACTCCCACATTCTGTTCGCGGAGGATCCAACCAAAGATGTCGTCGGCTTGGACCACGTAAAAAGTTGATTTGTTGAACCACGTTTCTCTATATATGTATATACAACGCTACAAATGCTCTAATACATAGAAAGAGAGAAAGAGAGAGAGAGAAAAGTGAGGATGCAAAGATCACTTGGAGAGTGAGGTTCTCTAATCGTGTCGTACTGATCACACGAGACTTTTGACAGGTATATATAGGAATCAAACCGGTTCTTTTGTAGATAGGAATTGATAAACGTTCTCAGGTGATTGGTATCTTTCATCGAGATACACTCAAAAGAAAAATATTTATTTAACGAAATGACTATTTGTTTTTTTTTTTTTGCAATGCTTTCATCAAAATAGACATAAAATTGAAAATAAAACCTTAGTAAAAAATAAATTTTCTACCAAATATTATATTTCTTTATCATTATTATAATAATTATTATTTTATAAGAAAAAAACAAAATTTATTTTAATTTGAACCTTTGATTATATATATTTTACATTTACGAATAGGAAATTTTAATTAAAACCGGTATTGATATAATAATAATAATAATAAAGTGAGTTATTCAAAGACCCATCAGAATCAACATGATTTTCGATGTTAATATCACCTCTTTATTAAAGATAAAAATCTCATGGTTGTTTTTCGAAAAGAAAAATGCGATAATTAAATCGAAATTCCGATAAATTATCTCTTCGAATAGATATATGGTAAATTTCCAAAAAGGAAATAAGAAAAAATTTATTTGATTTAATTTAATGTATACGAATATGATTGTAAAAAATTTTGGAATCTTTGGTTAAAATAACAAATAAAAAAAGGATCTTGTCTCTAACACAATTGTAATCTTTCAGTATATTTCAACCCTTTACTTTCCCACGAATACAACTACAACCAACGAAGAAATGATAAAACAGAAAAAAAGTACAAGTTTTAAAAACTTACACATCTTTTCTTTCTCTATATAGAAAATGAATTCAGAGCATGAAATTTGTTGCGATTCGGTTGCGCTCTCTATGGAATCGAATTAAGTTCCACAGAAGTGTATAACTGGTTCATTTCTTGGACGGGTTCGCGAGACGCATAGGACAGAGATGAGAGCATGGTTCGTTGGAAAAAGGTACGAAGGTATATAATACTGGGACAAAAGGAAGATGCACACGCGGTCGACTGTACAATCCTAGAAACCATTTCGTTTGTCGGAGGAGAACTGATAATAATAAAAAAGAAAAGAAGAAAAAAGAATATAACGAATATGAAGAGGCAACAAGATAGAGAAAACCAAGTTCAAATTGAGAAGAGAAAAAAAAAATAACGAAGATGTACGGGGATATGTTTAACAGGATGATCTGCTAGAAGGGATATGCCCCCTTATTCAAGATTATTTTTCTGCCATTTCAGGGCTAATTTCGTTCGCATAAAGAGCGGATCTTTGGATGCCCGGCTTAGCGTCATTCTTGCTCAACGAAACGCTTCTTTCGCCTTTTTGTTTAGAAGAAAAAAAAGAGAAACATTTTCTTTAAACATTGCGTCGCGTCAAGAGAAAACACGATTGCACGCCCCAAAATAATTTTCGAAACCGGAACATCCCTATATATAAAGATGCTGTGCCCGAGTGTTAAGGTCGCATATTTTCTTTGATGTTTTTTCTCTTTCTTTAGTGATTATTATGGTCCATTTCAATATTTTTGTTTGTTCAATTTTAGCCTCCTTCCAATTATCAAATTCAAGTATACTTACAAATTTTCACTTATTTGTGAATTGAATTTTTCTTCTTTCGAATCCAAGAATTCACTTTTTGTGATGCTCATCAGTAAATTGAATTTTCCATTTGCCATATCTTTTTGCGCATCGGTTCAAAGATGTTTCCTGTGAAAAGACAAAATTAGATTAGTTCGATACGGAAAATTAAAAAAAAAAAAACATTTCTAAATTAAAACTTAAAAAAAAAATATATTTTTTAATCAATTTAACTATAAACTTTGAAAAAATATTTTCTATAGCAACGACTTTCGGGAAAATTACAAAAGAGCTTGAATCGACTGTCCATGCAGCTTCTCTCTCCGTTTTGTTCCTTCTAAAACGCTTCTCCGGGAGTTCGGTCCAGCGAGCCGGAAATTGGCCAGAACGACCGCTCGAAAACAGAAGCCGGAAAAAGAAAAGACCTCCAGGACAGGAGAGAGAGAAAGATAGAGACGAACATTGGTGCGAGAAAATTTCTTATGTCGCGATCATATCGATAGCTCCTCTCGTTAAAAGGACCAAATAACATATATGATTCTCTTGGGTTCGCACGCTATTGGAGGGTGAAAAAAAAGATTTGCGGAAATTCGAACATGCAATGATCTTTTTTTTAGGAGCCGGACAGTTTCCGTAATCTGAATAATATTCGCTCAGTCGCGCTCGACCAACCGCCAAGAATAGTCGTTTAAAAGCTAACAATAGTAATGGATACGTTTAATCCAATCGAGGTTCGAGGTCTCAAAAACGAGCCGACAATGACATTCAATAACTGACAGAGGCTCCTCCTTTCTTGATCAGTATCTTTGAGTCTGGACCCTATTCAGGTAGAGTCATCTAACTCATTTTTTTTTCCCTAAAAATACTAAAAATTGTTACTGTTATTAAAAATATAAATTAAATTAAAATTGTTTCGATCGAAGGAAAAAAAAAATACTGAAAATAATTCAGTTTTAACGCATATAAACATTACATGTTTATTTCATCTTGACCGCACTCTCGAGAATGGTTCCCAACACAAAGTATACCTAATATGAAATAATTTTACCTTGAAATCTACGAAAATTGCGTTTCCAGTGCAAAATTCACTTCCATTCTTATATCCATGTGGAGGATTTATTAATTATTGACCAAATTTTACATAAGAATCATCAACAATATAATGGACAATAATTTTTCCCCTCTATATTGCGCCAAAGACCACACACGCCGGCGCCATACACGAGCCGTGTAAACGTATTTCAAACACCAGCCTATACGTGGAAACGATAAATAAACTATAACTAACCGCCCTCCGTATAGTGACAGGTGAATCCTCTTGTTAGTCCCCCGAAGAACTTTGCTCGCTCTCTCTCTCTCTCTCTATCTCTTTTTCTTTCCTTCTCTCTCCACAGAAGCAGCGAGCGAATCCGTTTACGAGAAAACCTCGTTCTTCTCTGCGATCAAATATATATATATATGCGATTCTTCGCGTAGCACATGATTTAGTTACTGCTATTATTGAAAAATTTCGTTTCCAATTGAATATATAACGAAACAATCTTCAATATTGTAAAAGTATCCAAACTCGTATATATTTAAGAATCACTTTTCTATCTAAAAAAAAATTCCATAGTAAATTTCCAACGTTTAGACAAAAAAGTGAGATTAGAATTAGTAGTCAATCTTTTTTATCAAGCAGAAGTTCTAAATTTTATGTACAAAATCACTATTTTTTCAAAAAAAAAATTTTCCTTTGTCAAAATTTTACTTTACATATATATAAAGCAGGAGAGAAAAAAAATATTTGAACAAAATTCTAAATTTTCTGAAAAGTGTATTTGATTACAATCAGCAAACATCTTTTGTTCAATTTCATATTTCCAATTTAAGCTGCATTTTACCTGACTTTTCAAATCACCAATCCATCAAAAAGAAATAATTTTTCGAAAACTATATATAAAAAAATAAAAGCAGTGCTACACTATAAGCAATTATATATTTATATATATTTCTCAAACATTTATCTCTATATATATATACATCCACTTAGTAAAGATTTTTATCTAAATAATCCCATTTACCACCTAGTATCTAAATGAGTTTCACGAATACAACTATGTCCTTCTCTATCTCGTAATTTAGCACTTAAGAAGCCATTGATCTTAACTTTCCGGCACTTTTGCGTTCTTCTCTTTTCGCAAATACTTTACTTTTCCAGGGCTGTTATATAGATACAGATCTCTTCTTCGAGAAAAACTTGTTTCGCGAGGTCAAGGAACATTAACCATAAGGGAATTAGTGTTTATCTAAAAGAAAGATCAGAGGGTAATATTTTCGAGTGCGGGGCAAATAAGCGAAAGGGGTTTTTCAAGTTTGCTATTTTTGGTAAAATGAGAGTCAAAAATGCTATATACCTGAAAAAAAAGGAGCCAAAACTATTTGACACGTGATGACAGCTCGTGGCGCCACCAACCCCCTGGAGTGACCATACTCCACGGGGAACATTTTGTGGGTTGAACTTTGGAAGAAATTCTTTTGTTTCAACCTTATTAACGTGACCCTTGAAAGCCCTTCAAGTCCCTTCATCATCATCATCTCAAGAAAAAAAAAGAGAGAAAAGGGCTCAAATCTTTTGACACGTGCAACGAATCCAAATCTATACATATCATTATAGCCTTATTATGACCTTGAATGACGACAGAGAAAAAGAGAAAATGTTTGTCGCGTGCCAACCCTTTACTTTCAGATAGATAATATCTCATTATCTCGATTCTTATCAAAAGAACAAATATGGAACAAGAGGTTATTGACCTACTTCTGGCTTTTATAGATAAACATCAGCTGAGAAAAAAAAATCACTAAAAATTCGTACTGTATTTTTGGAATTTTAATTATTTGTAAATTTTTTTTTTTTTCTCGAGAAAATTTTCCTTAAATGGATACCCTTCTAAAATATATCTAAACATATCGAATCTCACGCCGGCGCTACTTTTCACTCAAACAACGAGTTAATTAGTAGCCATATTATCTTAAAACACGTTTCAGTGGCTCTCGTCGTCGTCGCGTTGTTGTCGTCAGAAGAGACCGGTATTCTTCGAAAATGTCTCCACTTCTTTTTTACGAGCTACTTTAGTCAACCGATTAAGCAAAACTTATCAGTGTGGTATTAACAGCGTGAAATCTACAAAACGGTGTTAATTAGAAACGATGAGCGAAGGAGATCGAGGAGCATCTCTCTTTCGAGTGTATGTGTATATATATATATATCGTTAAACCCCAGAGAAAATTCAACGACTTATATTAAGAAGATAGGTGGTCCAATAATAAGACAATAAGTTAGGCGCACTCTCGGATCGAGAAACATATATATATATATATATATATATATATACATGAGACTCAAAGGAAGAACTTGAGGTGGATCTTATGCGGTGGTATGCTCCAAGTGGCGCCAGCACTCGTCCTTTTCCCTTCCTCGTGTCTCCCCTTTTTTCTTCGACTTCTGGCTCCCGCCTCTCTCTTTCTCTCTTTTTCTCAACCCCTTTGTCTCTCCTCCTCATCGTTACGAGGCGCGATCTCTCGATCATTCTCCATCCTTCTTCATTCTTTTCGCATCCTATTCCCTCTATCTTGATTCTCTTTATATATTATCCTTTTCTTTCCCACAGCATATCTTTCTCTCTTTCTCTTTCGCGCGAAAGATCCAATTCTCCAACCTTCTGATGGAAGAATCATTTTTAGATTATAACGGAAATTAATAAAGAATTCCTAGACCTAAAATTCCATTTTCCTTCGTGAATGACTAAAAAAAAGAAATATATCGTTAATTTATAAATCAAATCGAGACGAAAATTGATATGATATGGCAATTGCGAGAATATTATTGAACCATGGGAATTCGAATTTTAGAGCCCGTGGGAAGAAATATATTATTTCCAAGTATGAAGACTAATTCAATTTACATATTAATTCATTTACCTGAAACCGTGTGGTTTCTCACATAATTTTATTTTGAACCCTCTAAAATTGTTTTCTCTAAATTTTATAAACGCAAAAAAAATTTTTTTTTTTTTTTTTTAATTAGGCTTTTAACAAGAATTATAAGTCTTCAAACTATAATCCCAATGAATTATTTTTATGCGTTGTATAAACGATTAAAGTCTTTACAGTGTTAATTTCTGTACCTCTCGCATAATATATGCGAAAATGAATATTTAAAGAATAGCATTTTCCGCGCGTCGTTGCACTAAATTGTATGATCGTTTACGTCAAATCTATTCTATAACTTTTCAAAACTTTTTAACAAATGGCGTGAAATTCTAGTTTGTCAATAATTAATTTGCCAAGAATACATTTTACGACGTGGCACTAAATTATATGTCTTTTGCGTCAAATCTATTCTATATCTTTGTTAAAAAACTTTACCAACATAGTATAATGGCGTTTAAAATTGTACTTTGTCAATTATTAATTTGTCAAGTGGAATTAACTGCATAGAAAAAAGTAACGCATAAAGAGCATCTCACATTTTATATTCATTGAAACTAATAATATTTATAATTTCAGATATTTGTAAATTTTATCAATTAAAAAAAAATTTTTTAAATATTTAGTATTCATATTTGTGTAAAATCGATAATCGCGGACAATTAAATAATCAATGATTTAATTTTAATTCAAGAATTTTTTTTTAAAAATATAGAAAAAAATTTAAATATCGGAAAAAAAAATATTTTTATATATAACGCCCTCTCAACTCACAATCAGATCACTTTTCTTGTAAATCAAGTTTATTCGCTTTTGCATATCAACTTGATCTCATATATGTTTTTCTCTGCGGTTTTATACTTTTACTTCGCATTAACGTAATTTCTACGAGTTTTAAATCAAAAGAAAAATTAAACAAGAATTTACAATCAACTTGAAATATATATTGCTATAGAAATTAAGAATAACTTTTTTTGACCTAACGAGTTTATATATTTTTTTCATGGAAAAAATATTATTTATCGTAGAAAGAGAACATTTTTAAATTTCGATTTAATTTTTCGAAATAAAGAAAGATATAATTTAAAATTTATTTTAAAATATAATTTTATAAAGAAATATATTTTAGAATGTGGAAATTAAAATTACTGGAGAGAATA